ATAGTATCTTAGGGCATTTGGGCTGCTTTGTAACAAAATACCAGTAGACGGGGTGGCTTATAAACAACGGAAATTTATTCTTATAGTTCTGAAGGCAAGGAAGTCCAAGATAAAAGTACCAGCAGATTCTTTCTTGGGTGAAGACCCATGGTTTCCTGGTTCATGGATGGAGCCTTCTCACTGTGCTTTCCACGATAAAGGGTAGCTAGTTCTTTGGGATCTCGTAAAAGGGTACTAATTCCATTTGTGAGGGCCTCACCTTCCTGGCCTTGTCACCTCTCAGTATCATCACACTGGGGCTGAGGATTTCAAGATATAAATTTGGGGAGTCACAAACACTCAAACCTGTAGCATATGCGATAAAGTTTATCCTGCTGAGACACCAGGCTAACATTCCTACAGAATAACCCTCTAGCTCACAACTTCTTCCCAAGGACCCTAATCTTCTTATCCCCTGGGGGCTCCAGGTATACCAACTGTGAGGTGAGGGCTCTAGGCCTCAGTCAAGATCCAGGCATTCGTTTTTGGATAGGGGAACATATATTAACCATCTCAACCTGAACACTGAGAGGGACAAGAGGGGCTCCTAACAATTGTGCTGGGATGACAGCCTGCCTTGGGCAAACCATGTTTGGTCACCTCACCTCTATTTTTTTTTTTTTCAGCCCTTGCTAAGTGCTGGACATTGTGACAGGGATTAACATGGGTCATTTAATACCATAAGTAACTCTAGTAAGCAGCAAAGTTATTACCTTTAACAATGGCTCTCAAAGGCAGAACTGGCATCCTTTTCCATATTCCAACTGAAAGCTCTGGGCGGGCACTACGGAATCCAGCTACTCTCTGTCTACCCTTCCTAGTCAATCATCCACCTCTTACTGCCTCCAAGTTTCTACCCCAACTTAAAAGCTCTGGCTCTGGAGCCTGAATGGAAGACTTCCTCTCCACCCCAAGCCCTGCTGACCTTCTGATTGGTCCTGACATCTAACCTGCCTGTTGAGTCCAATCTTGAGGATGTACCACCCCGCCTTCCACTCTACAGCCCTGTATCTCACAGCTCATCCCTCCCACAACTTCCTGTTCTCATTCACTGGGAGCCACCCTCCCAGAATCACAAGTGCTTTAATGCCTTCACACTCCAGGTCAGTGGTGTGCAGGTAAGTGCTAAACAATCCACTCTGTGGGGATAACAGGCATGTCTACCTATACACACACACACTTATTACACATCATGATTCAAAGGACATGTAGCTAAGAACTTACAAATAATAACTAACAATCTTTATTGCAAATCCTATCAGGGCAACTGATTTTTGAAGAATGCGTTGGTTGATTTTTGCCAAACTCTTTTATCTGCAGCCAACATATAGTAGCAATTTGGCCAGGATTTGGCAAATGGTCTTGCATCTCAATCTACCAATTCTTCCATCAGCAGATTTTTCAATAAACGTATCGGGTACAATTTAACTGTTTTTAACTACTCACCCTCATTCAAGTCATTGGTCAAACAACAGCAGTAGCACGTCATTATACATACAGTGTCCTTGTCAGACAGTAGACCTGAGTAAAATGTAGTAGTCATTAAGAGCTGTTGAGTATTTACTACCCTTGTAACTGATTTAATAGTAAGCTATCTAATTGTTGATAATGGATAGACGTGTCTAAAATCAGCTCACAAAATTCCCAAAAGTTTAACTACCACCTGTTCTTGGGAAGGAGGCAATTCCACAGCGACGCCCTTCACATTCATCTTTTCCTCTCCTCTTTCATCCCTGTCTTACAATTGGGCAACCAGGAAAGGGCACATGGAATTGGAGACTATCTACTTTACTCTAGAGGTGTGGTGAGGTCAGGCTCAAGTAAGCTCTCTCCAAATGTCCTTAAGTGACAAATACCCATGGTGACGAGCTTCTTGGGAAACAAATATGACAACTATTATTACATATTGCTCAGGTAACAAGTTTATACTTTATGACTAGTAGTAATTGGAGTTTCTAAGAAAAGCCTAGTAACTATCCTGGAGCACAGCTCTGGTAAACTCTTCACACTCCCTCGCTGAGATGGAAGCAGCAAATGAAAATGTAGGGAAGCACTGGAAGTGAACCAAGCAGCTCTCCCACTTACCTGACAGAGACATAGACTGTCCAGGAGCCCCACTGCAGAAACATTCCCAAGGCCTACTATGACCTAAGGTGACACTGACTTGATACAATACAGGAACCCACTCGCCGACATTACCTCACCTTTTAATCCTCACATTAACCTGTGAGGCAGGTAGCAGAAGGTATCCTCAACTAAACCTATCTGCAGGAAATCACTGCCCAAGCATTGAGAAGCTTCCCACTCTGCACACACTCCAAATGTCCCCAACATCTCTGGCTTATTCTGGAACCAAGCATTGAAATGCAGATGGACCTTCCTCTATCCTAATTCATCAGGGAGAAAACCAGGGCTCCTAGTTTAAAATTGCTGCCAGGAGCCTTATTCTAAGCAGCTGTGTTATTTCTAAGCTCCTCTCACTTGGGCAGCAATCTTAGTGAAGTTACAAGTCCAAGAATATTTGTAGAAAGTTCAGCAGCTAAGAACCCAAAAGGTAGCTATGTTACAACCTGCACCTTTTAAGTTTTGTGGGAATTCTGAAAGCTTGGGGGACTGGAGCTTATGTCAGTAATATGTAAAGAATGAGTAGCAAGCTATTGCAAAGTTGCTTTTTTCTCCATGAAGGATGCAAATCTCTACTTAAGTGGCTTCCAGTGCAAATGGTACTTCCTTTTTTAGAACATGTAACATAATAAAAGTGATAGCCCAAAATTTTCTTCAGCCGCTCACGGGAAATAATTGATGGCAGGAGGAGAGTAGTTTACCATAAATGGGGCTTAGGTGGCCTAAGTGTAGGGATATTGGCCCGAGTCTCTCTGCCCTTCTTCCTGTACCAGAGGAGTATCTTCCCAGTATGGCTCTCCTAGCACTGCCATATTGCCAAAGCCAGGCCCCAGACAGAAGATGCCCTCTCCCAGCTAGCTTCAAAACTGTAAGTTCATCAGTTGTGGCAGCTCGCACCTGTAGTTCCAGGACTAAGGCAGCTGAGGCAGGAGAATCACAGGTTTGAAGGCAGCCTGGGCTACATTTTGTCTCTAAACAAAAGAAAACTAAAAGCTTTCTTTTAGCTTCTGTATGCCCAATGACGCTCTGTAGCTTCCCCTAGTCAAAGAATTCTCAGGCCTTCATCTCTTATCTGTGTAGCTCCATTTCACATATACTGCCCACTACTACCTCCCCTCCACCAGAAATTTTAGTCATTTCCTGGTTAAACTTGAAAACACCATTAAGGGTATGTGTATTACCAGGGCATTTTTTTACACCAAAATAATGGAATGACTTACCATAAGGAACCTAACCATGTTTTAGAAACCAAAGACCAGTTGCAGGGTCATGGGCCTGTAATGAGCACTTATCAAATGACATGAGGCTCAATGTATACGTGACAGTGTCTCCTTCAAAGACTGCCAGTCAGTAATCTTCTGGCCCTCCACCTACTCAACTGTAAGGTTAACTAGCACCATCATACAGGTTATCTCAAACATGGAGAAACAATAGCCAAAGCAAAGTTCTCCAGTGGAGCTGGTTCACAGGTCAAGAAACAATCCTAGGTACACATCCTGATTCTGTCATCTCTGACCACAGCAGGGGCCTAGATACTGTCTAAGGAAGGAAGTCTCCTCACTAAAGAGTTGAGCACCAAGCTTCTCCCTGTGTCTGCCAGGGAGACTTTCCTGCTGTTTTGCTGCCACTTATCAAGTAACGTCAAACTTGGGGACTAGTCTCAAGAAATGACACTAGAGGCATGTTTTTGTGTAAATGTACTGACCATCAGGAATGGAGCCAGCAGGTTTGAGTGCTGGTAGTAGGCACAATCAAGGCATTTTTTTCTTACATTTGGACTAGATCAGTAGTTCTCAAGATGATCTGCATGAGTCTCTGGATCTGGGAGCAGATGCTTTCGTCCCTTCAATTCACTGGGCTTTTGATCACTGTATCTTTAAAGAAGGGAGTCCTGCTGCAGGAAGAGGGAAAACAAACACCCTGAAAGTCAAGTGACCTTCTGGCGTCTAAACAGATAAACATGAGAACAGCCTATTTCCTTGTTACTCTTAACTCATCCAATCGTTTGCCTGGCAGAGTCAGAAGAAGAAAGACTGGGTTTCATCCTTGTTCAAAAACATGTTGTAACCACTTTACTGGGATCCCAGCTCAACCTTCAGGTGTTTTCTGAAAAGAGTGAACTTGATCCCTCATCACTGAGAGGACCAATCCTCCTCCTCCAGTAAGACATACAGTTGGGACAGGAAAACCTCTGGCCTGGGAAAGCCATCACCTCCACACTGCTCAGCACCTGCCCTGCAGCTGCCTTGCCAGGGCCCTATTTCCTGCCTTCATGGCGCTTCTGCCCTGAGTACTTGGAATGACAACATTCCAGAGCCAAAGCACTCCAGGACTATTTGTTATCAGAGACTGCACTGCTTTATCTCAGGGGGCCATGGTTTGGTTCTATAGGAACTGTTGCTCCTTTCCTCCAAAGGAAATACCAAATTTGGAAAAAAAAAAAAACCCATGGCACTGTGGTTGGCAAGGTTTAATTCAAGTAACTTATTAAAAGTTAAAAAATATTCCTAATCAAGAGCTTATTCAGAACAATTAGGAAAGAAAGACACGAAAGCATTTAAAGATAATTTATGTACATTTATGGCTTTATACATTATAGCAAAGATTGTTCTTGTGTCTGTAAGTACATCAGCATCATCAGGCACTTCTCAGAGAGTATTGGAACAGGGACATAAAATCTGCACTGTTACTAAACTCAGGTGGCAAAACGTGGGAGGGTGTGACTCTATCCTGATGGGATTTATGAGGCCATCCCTGGCCACAGTGCCAGGCTGGGCCCCACTTTGAGGAGGGCTGACTGTAATGCCAGGCTGCTTTGCTTGCATAAACCACATTACTTTTTTTTTTTTTTTAACTGAATGATTACACCCAACTAAAACTACAAGAGAAACTTCTCATTTAAAATCAGTTATAAATTAAGAATTCTTAAGAGCTGAAACTAAGAATTTCAAGTGTTTTGGGGGGTTGGGGGATACTGGTAACATATCCAGCAGTTGAGTAAGTCCAAATTGTAACCTTTGGAGAACTGTTTCCATCTGAATGTCCTTATCCTCTTCTCGGGGTGTTCCATTGATTTGCCGCTCACTGGGATACAACATTTGCTAATTGACCTAGACTTTGTCAGTTTGTCAAAGCAGAACTTTCCAAGTAATGCATCTATTACCTAAATATATTCCATACATCTATATTACGGAAACAATACATCTTTATATTTAAAATATCTGAATAGCTCTATAATACAATATGCTTTTAATAACAGTACAAACCAGAGGAAATAAATCAAACAAGGCTGCATAGGTGATATCATTTGCACTTTTCACAAAGCTATCATGTACAATAATATACTAATTACTCCAGAAAGTCAGTATTCTTACAGCAAAAGAACTCACAGAGGCCACATGATATTTGCTTTCAAATCAGACAAGACACTTTTCCCTGTACTTAGTGTGCCCCATATAGCTATCCATGATTCATGGCAGAATTCTGACACAAAGAAAAATGGAGGTGGGGGAGATTTACAGAATCAGGGACGAAACATCTTTCAAAAGCCACTCTTTGCAGTAGTACAATTTTAACAATGATTTTGGCTGTAGCCACCTCTACAATGAGTGAATAGGAGTTCTGAGGCTCCTTCTATAATGGTGAAGCAATAGTGTGAGAGGGAGGAAAGTGAGAAGATGTGGGAATAGAAGTGAGACAAGAGTGCGAGAATGCCAGCAAGCTCTATTACATATGCAGGAGGCACTGCTGGGAGGAACTAAGGTTTTTAAAAATGAGCCCTGATGGTTAGAGGGGTGGCTACTCAATAAATGTGTGAAATAGGAAAAGCCACAGTGAGAAGCTTATAGCATAGCTGGACTACTGTGGGAACTCTATTAGGAACACATGTTCTTGTTAACATGTAGGAAAAACTAAGCTTATGGAGACAGACTTAACATCTAAGAAGAAGCAGTCAGTATGATGAGGGCTGTATGCACAGACATCAGCGCCTTCTCAGGAAGCTGAGAAGAGCTTTGTTATGTTCTCACTTTGATGACTTTTGGCATTGCACATGACTTGGAAACACTGATGGATGGAATCAGAGACAAAGCCAAAATTAGGTAACTATAAAGTATTAAGATACAATGGTCACAGTGATAGTTTAAGGTACTAAAGGTTGAAGAAATTCTCAAATTCTTAATTTAAGCTAAGGCTTTTAAAACAAATGTACAACCTATAGCTGATTTTCAAACTGCCCCAATTTTTTTTAACTACTTCTATTTCACTTGGTGGCCATTTGTACTTATGAACACAAAGCACTCTGGAGTCCCATTTTTAAACTTCTCCTTCATTTAAACTTTGCAGGACAAAAAGTAGAGGGATGGAGACTGAGGACTGACATGACTCCTCATGGTAGAGCTACAGAACGTCCCACCGCCACACACACCTGGACCAAAATAGTAACACAGACTTATGAAAGAATCTTCTGCTAAAGAGCCACTCAGAATGGTTAAGATGATCAAAACCCCCAACTAGACAGAAAAATAGTTTTAGATGAGACTCTCCCTTTCTAAACAACAAACATTATGAGGCCTCCCAGGAATAACTTTAACAACGCAACACACAGGCATCTATCAGAAGACTTGACGCTATGTGGTGCACACAGTTCACAGGGTAGTAGAAGCAGGTGAAAGTTTTTAAAAATACATACATAAAAACATATCAAGTTCTTCTAAATACGAAATGCAAAGTGTACATAACTATATAGCACTTTCCTGCCCAAATAGGGCCAGAAACGTTGAGTATCCAAGTACTAATTACAATGATTTAAGATTAGTCAGAAACATCACCAAGTAGCATCCCAAAGTGTACAAACCAGTTAAACACGTATAAAATTAGTACTAATCCAGTTAGAAATACAAAATGAAAATTATGAATGCTGCCCCCAAATACCTGTGATTCCACAAATTCACAAGCTGACAATGTAACAAAGTAGACTCTGGTTTTAAGAAAACATTACAGTTCGACATCTATTCCAAAAATGATCTCAAGTCCCAACAATAACATCAAAAATCATTTATCTGGAAATTAGAACCATTATAAGTATTTGTACAAATTTGCAAATAACAAAATAAACAGACAAAAAAATAGAAAAGACCTGTACAAGGCTGGCATTTAACCTTTTTTTCCCCCAAAAGTTTGAAAGTCCATTAATTCAGCAGATTGATAACAGGCTACTTGGTTCTCATGTGAATCCTGTGGCAACGTGAACAGGTCCAGAGCCGCTTCAAGTGAGGCGCACAATGGAGAGCTCAGTTCTTTGTGATTCGTCACTTCAGCAGAATGCAGGTAGTACAAAGAAAAATTTAACTTATCAAGACATGAGACCATCACAGTATTATTACAAAAGAGTATAAACTTTCCTTGGACCAAATGAATATTTAGAAAAAAACAATACACACACACACACACACACACACACAAATACAATTCTGTAGCTACTGCTTATATACAAAACTTGAAAGCACACCAGGATCTGAAAGTCTTTTCTGCAATTACATGGTGTAGTGAGTTTGGCACTTCATTGTAATGAAATTTCCAATGGCACAGTCCTTATCTACAGCAGCACATAACCTGCAAACATTGGGCAAACATCCTGTACAGGAAAAGTGTCTCTGCTGCCAAGTCTGACGAAAGGAAAAAAGGAAGAATTTTTTTTTTTAAGTCAAGAAAACTAAAAAGGAGGGGTAAATGACATCTTTGGACTGCTTCTTTCAGTTCCTGCTGTCACGACAAACTGAAGTACTTAAGTGTAGCCTAGGAAAAAACACACACACACACATATATAATGAAAATATAGCTGAATTAAAATCAACAAACTAGACAGTGACAGACATATTTAGGGGAAGGTAGAATTTTCTCAAATAGCTCAAAATCATTCAATAGGGAAAACTCCACTTAAAAAAAAAACCTTCAGTATTTGATTTGTATCAAACACATTCATTTACTAAAGAGCTACTAAAAAGATGCAGCCATCAAACTGTTAAAAGAAAATCTACAAAGTAGTTGGAAGCTTCTTTATATTTAAGTCAAAAGGAAAATTGGTAAGCTGCTTAAAAAAAAAAGCAGAGAATGAATGATAAAAGATCCCTTTCTTTCTGTAAGGGGCAGTTGGGCAATGTTAAAAAAAAAAAAAAAAGGCCTAATCATGGAAGGAACAAGGCAAATTACTGTGTTCCTCACTTAAGTTCTATTTTTCAAAGGGCCTTTTGATATTAGGGTGAGCTTACCTGCTTGCTAACTCTTAGCCTGAAACCCAGCTATGTGTTGTCGTCTTGACACTGTGCGGGAAGCTTTGGTTGGGCAATACATTGTCAAAGTTAAAATCCAAGGTATCTCCATCCATGAGGTCATTCCGAATAATGGACTCCATGTCACAGTCCAAGCGCTCAATAAACATGCCGTCCAAATCACTTGGGAGCTTCTCCTGGTGAAGGATGCCGGTCCTGCCATAGCCATTGCAGCTGCTCACTGAGGAATAGCCACCCAGGGCGCTCATCTGCATGGGGTGGGGCAGAGGCACTTGTAAAGGTGTCTTCACTGGGGTCAGGCGGTTTAGACCTGAGGTGTGTGGCATGGTGTTCACGGGGTGGGGCAGGGCCGCCCGTTGACCGCAGATGTTTGCTGGGCATGGCCAGGGTGGGTATGGGAGCTGGGATTCATCATTTTGTTATGAGATGCCTGGTTGCCATAGGTTGGCATGACTGAATTAGGGCCCATCATCACATTCTGGCCCAGGACCCGGCTGTTGGGTTGGGCCACCCCAGGATCAACTGGTGACATAATGTCATTATGGGGAGGAGAGTCAGAAGTAAGTAACTCCTTCAAGAGTCCTGGTGCACAGTTGTACTGATTCAGTCTATAACTTGATTTGCTGTCCTGAAGTGTCTGCATAGGCATCTGGGGCAGAGGGCTCATACTGGATTGGCCATATGTGTATTTTTGGTAGTTTGGACTGGGTGAATTCAGACTGGTGTTTGGCGGTGCAAAGGAGTAGCATGGAGTCTGTTGTAGCATGCTGCCAGGTGAAGACTGGGTTGAAACAGTTAATGATGTTGGGGATGAGAGAAGGTTGAGATTATCCAAAAGGTTTTCCATGTTTTCAGGATTGCTTATCTCAGACAGACTGGGCAGAGTAGAAGCCATCTTGGCAGCAGATGGTGGGTACACCAGAGAATGCACATCCCCATCTCCCAGATCATCTTGTTCCGTCATAATGGGAGAAAGTCTCCCACTAATAGTACTAGCATTTGAGCTAGTTCGAGGGCGAAATGTACTCCAGTTATCAAAGTCATCGTTGCTGTGAGAACCAGGGCTCGCAGGCCATTTGGAAAACTGAGATCCAGGGCTGTCCCCGGCACCCTCCTGGCCAGACTGAAGGGATGCTTTTTTCTTGGCAGCTCGGCCTCGGCTCTTAGCAAATTTACTGTTGTTATCCATGGATGCAGCTCTCCTCCTGGGAGATTTTCCACTCTTGCCGCCCTCTGGATTAAGCATCCACCAAGAACTTTTTCCAGTTCCTTCATTCTGCACACGAATGAACTTGCTGTGTAGAGACAAATTATGACGAATTGAATTCTGTAAAGCAAAATACCAAGTTAGAAGTGCAATACTTCTCCATTTGGAAAATTTATTATTCAATATGTATTATATAAAAGATAGGTAACCTTTTATGGTTATGGTACAGATTTCAATCTGAACAGTCATAATAGTTCTAAACTCACCACAAAAGATCTCAAACAAGGGTAGAAAAAAGTAAATCTTAAAAACAAATCTGTATCTTTAAGCAAGCATGATTATAAATAACTTATACCCTATTTTATGGGGAAATTGTAGGAACTGGTTTTAAAAGCACTAAAATTTTGCTCAGCTACAATACTATATCCATATCAAAGTGCCACCAAAAACTCTTCCAATTCCACTGGTGGTGTTTTGATATGGATATAGTATTGTAGCTGAGCAAATTCTCTTAAGATGAAACATATAACATTTAAACAAAGTAAAAGGTTCTGTATCACTGAGCTCATCTGATTATGGTAAAAAACAAGATTAAGCAAGATATATTCCTACTCAAGACTAAAAAGATTGAAAACTAGTGAGACCTAAATCCATTTACACCTTGAAAGACAATTAGGCAAACATAAATGAATATAAGAAAAATTATTCTTTTTTTGAGAAAGTTAACCTGCCAAAAAAAAAAAAGGGAAAAATTTAAATTAAAAAAAAATACTGCTCTACCCCAATCACCAGCAGTATGCCAATTAACTCCATGATATTGATGAGGAGTTGCACTCTGTCCCAAGACAAGCACAGAGGGGAAGCAGGGGTGGAAAACATAATTTTAAGTTGTGCTTCTCTGCTCCTATTTGGTGGGTGTGAAGCTTAGAGGTGCTATCTGTACAAATCCACAACTGCAAGTACATGGGAAAGAGGTCATAGTTTCTTAGCCCTCTGCAGCAGGCAAGGAGGCCTTAATCTGATTCTCCCGCTCAAGATGTGGGCAGACTGCTGACATTTGGGAGAAGTAGGTCGGGGTATGCAAAGCTGGGAAAGAAGTGGGAAATACTCTGAACTCCTAAGAAGGAGTTTTTGGCCTGTATAGTCACTACCTATTCATTTGGCAGCCTCAGTCTTCAGGGACCTCATTCCAAGACTGGAGCAGAGCTATGCTCAAGGCCCCAAGGCTTCTTGGCCTCCTCTGTCAATTGGGTGTAAGGCTCATTCAGCTGCCCAGGCATCCTTGGCCCTTCTTGGACCACAAAAAAGGCTCTGGCTGGATTTGTGGTCACCCAGGGAGGCAGCCACAATGCCCACATCCTCATGCTACTGACTTGGGACAAAGATGTTCAAGTGCCAACCACTGTACTAGAGCAGAGTCTCTCTGCACAGCAGGATGGGGCTTAGCTCCCAGACAACCCTAAGATGTCTTTTCTCCTTCAAAGGAGATAGAAAACAGAAAAGGAGTGGACTGAAGATCTCACCTTCTAAAAAGAGATAGAAAAAAGTCAGAAAGAGGCCCAAGAGTTAGAGCTGAGAGAGCCACATTTCAAAATGCCCTCTGACCCTCAATTCGCCCAAGGATTGTAACACAGCTGCTATATGACAAGGCCTTCCAACAGAGTGCACCGCAAGAGCAGTCAGACATGCCCAAAAGGAGTTTCTGGTTGGATACTGGGCAGGTGTGTGGTCATGTGGTAGTGCAAGTCTCCTGTTTCCAAGTCTAACCACTTCTTTCCCACTGGCGATCTATTCCTAACTCCAAGCATACTATGAGGAAGGAATAGGGGGCTTGAACTCCATACAAGATCCTCCTTCTCATATTCTATTTCATTCCCAAGAGATTCCAAAAATTCTATGGAGAAGTCTATGTTTTCTCTCTCTCTCTCTCTCTCTCTCTCTCTCTCACACACACACACACACACACTCACACACTTTCACATGCACAGTCACAGCCTCATCTGTTGTGCCTACCAATACCAGCAACCCAAATTCTCAATTCTTCCTTTAAAGCAGCAACCTAACTGGGGTGGGCTGGAATACAGCCAAGCACTGTGACCCTGCACCCTGTAACACTGTCTACATGTTGGGATGGCTGGGCATTTGTGTAATATTCCATCATGACATTTTCGTTCTTTTAACACAACAGACACACAGATAAGCTCCAATGAATCCTCTGGAGTAGAGGAAGCTTGGCTCCTGTTCTTGTCACAATTAGTTAATGATAAAGGGGGAGGAAGCTCTTCCCAGAAAGCAGCTTCCTGGTTGCCTACACTGACAGGTGGGAGTGCAGTTCTATGATCCCCAAGATGATTCTGTCAAACCACTGGCAAGTACAGTTGCTGGGCACTTTTAACAAGACTGCAGAGACATAATAATGCAATCTTTGAAAAGGTTCACTAACTGAGGTGGGGTATACACTCACTACTAAGCCCTTAAAAAACAGAAGAAATAAAATAAAAAAGGAAGCCACAGCAATCCCTTACTTATCAAAACATCACACTGCATATTTTTCTAAGAGGACATTTCAGGTCGCTCTTTGAGTAACACAGTTGTCTACTAACTTTGCCAACAATTAAAAAAAATTTTTTTTTTTGGACAGGAAAAGCTTTGCTGTCCAGGACTTGTTACATAAATTCCTGTTTTTCACACGGCCAGCAGGACATTAAAGAAGCTATGATTGCTAAGGGTAGCAGGGTTTGGAGAGGTGATTTGTGAAAATACATGCCACCATTACCAATGTTGTATCTGCACTTCTCTGCTGAGGCTAGACGAGAGCTGGTCATGTGTGGGTCTGCAACAGAGCAGCTGTGACTGCTGGGGCTCTTGAGGTTCCAACAACTACTCTATGAGGAAAGAGGCAGGGGGTGAGGACCAAAGCTCCTACCTACACTGTCAATCGCTTACCCAACTCCTGTGTTTCTGCATGATGCTATTAGAGAAAGAGCCAAGTCAGCCAATCTCCTGTCCACTAGCCACATTTCTCTGCAGACTGCAGGTTTTCTGCTGGCACTGAGCTGGTTTCTGGGCCCATTCATAAGTCTCTGCACACATCCCTGCTGCCACTTGTGTGCCTGGCCGTCCCAGGCAGTGCAGTGCATTCTCTGGAAGCCTAAACTAACAAGTTCCAGGTGGGGGATGGGTGCCCTGGACATGGACCTGGTGTATTATGTGTCTAACCTGCTCTGACGCTCTGCTTAAGTATTCTATTCTATATCCTTTATAGACTAGATTCCAAGCTCCTTAAGAGCAAGAAGACTTTCAAAAAAAATATTTTGGCAGTATTGGGTTTGAACTCAAGGCTTTGTGCTTAGTAGGTAGGCAGGTGTTCTACTGATTGAGTCATTCTTCCAGTCCTTAACTTGTTTTTAATTTCTAATCTCATATCCCCTAACAGATGTTCTACATACAAGATGTATTTAATGAAGTTTACTGGCATACAAAAAACATCACAAGGAAGATGTGATGTCTTACATACTACATACTTCTTATCCATCCATTCATGGACCAATTCATGACAATTCAAAATACATTGGAACCTATTTTGTGCTAGGAGCAGGAAAGGACACAAGAAAGAATTAATCACAGAGCCTGCCCTCCAGGCAGAAAACAAGTCTACCTAAACACACTCAAAAGAACAGCAAATGACACATAGGATTGTCCCTGAAAATACAGAACACGGTCATTTTATACCTGCCCTCCCCAGGATATTCTTACCCCACAGTCTAAAGCAACAATCACCAGCCACTTATGTGTAGCAGGAAATCTTTAAATTTTTACTTTAAGATTTTCATTTCAGTCTTTTAAAACTCATATTAAAGAATGTGTTAAATAATACATGTAATACATTTGTTGCATCAAAAAGGGTATGTGATTTTAAAAAAAATTAGAAACCACTAGTAGACTTCTAGGAGCCGAAAGCCTCAACGAAAATCAAGAGCACAGAACTAACTCTGAATCAAGTATAGAAAACTTTTTGTACCTCCCACTACCCCAACCATACCCCTAAGGGCTGAGTTGAAAAAATGAACTGATCCCAATGACAGCAGTCTGCCCCACCACTGAGAGCTAAGCTAGATCTGGTTCCTCACCATCCCTGTTCACACTGAGCTTCCCTGAATCCTGTCTTCTAACCTCAGCCTGTCTGGAGACCACCACCTATCAGCTGGGGTCTTCCCACTGTGGCTGGTTTCGCTTGGTGGGCCTAAGACACCTTAGATTTTTATGTTCAACCAAAAATACGATAAAACCAACTCTGGCTGAGTACATCCTGCTCAAGCAACTCTGGCCTTTCTATCTAACGCCTACCTTTTACTTCACAGTTTACTACTGTTACTTCATCTCATTCCATTCTTGGAACAGTCCTATGAAACAGGTGCTCTTAGCCCCATTTTAGAAATGAGGAAACTGAAGCATGAAAATTATTTTTCCAGTTAGAGCTCAAAGCATGGTTATATGATTCTACCTGCAACACTGCTGTTGGCTGATCAAACCACCTTTTTGGATCCACCATTGTTAAGGAGAATCAAAAGAACACACATAAGACTGAAGTTACATGTCTATACCTTGAAGGAGTAAAAAATAATTTTGTTTGCGAGTCTACAAAACTCATTTTCTAACTTAACGGGTAATAAATTTATACATGATTTGCTTTTATTCCAGTGAGTTCTTCTTTATGTCAGGAAACCATAGCAGCTGATGTGTGAATTTTAGATGCACACGTTGTCCCAGGGAAAGCCTGTTTATAAAGAGGCTATGCGGACTCACAAGGAGAATGGAAAGGTCCCCAGAGACCCCCAGCTGCCTGGAACTGCCACCACCCACATAAGGGAGTGGGCAACAGCCACCAGACCCAACAAAAAGAACTTCACACTAAGAGACTGGAATATGTAACTAAATGGAGTCATTCTAGGATCCTTTTAAAATGCTATACAAATGATTTTTTCCAAAGCATTTATCTAATTTCTACGAACTTTCTCATTGTGTGCAGACTCCCCGGGTGGCCTTGATTCCCTCCTCCTGCTTCTTCTCTTTTACACCACCTCTTCCTACACTTCCACAAGTGAAAACAAACACAGAGT